GAAAACCAGTTAGGGCCAGGGCATGGTGCTGAGCACTGGGCTATCGTCATCCACACTGTTCAGCAAGTAGCATAGTCTTGGCACAACTTTGGCCCTCAACATTGACCAACTCAAGTTCAGTTCTGGGGAGAGCATGGTCCAACAGGCAACCCCAATGAGGTCCATGTACAGGCGGGGAGGGGAAGGTAGAGGGTTTAACAGTGCCTTGCGAGTTGTGCCTCTTGCCTTTCAGGCTGGAGAGTGGTCCCAACTTGCTTTATTTACTCACACGGACCTGGCCTTTAGGCCGGGGTGAGTCAAACAGCACATGTCCCCCTCCCCGTCTCTTTTCCTTGCAGATGGGGGTGTGCATGGCATGCCGTTGGAGAGCGCTGGGTCACCACTCAGCCAGGTTGCCCTGGTGAGCACCATGTACTTCAAAAGCATGTGGCAAAAGAAATTTTCCTTTATGGATACCCAGATGTTGTCTTTTACCACGGCGGAGGGCTCAAACCTGAAAGTGCCCACAATGCACCACACAGCCGAAGTTAACTACGGTAATTGTCCTTGATCCAGATCTGCTGTATTGTACAACATGTAACAGGTTTAGTTATTTAATTTCCACAGCTACCACACTAAGATGAATTATTTTCCCAGCTCAGAGAAGCCTCAGAAGAAATCCCATCAAATTAAAAGACCACCTGGGTGAACATATTGACTCATAATCCAGGCAATCATGAAACAGATACTAGCTTCAAATTGGTTCCTAAAATATCTCTGCCCATGCCCCATTCCTCACAGACCAACACCTCCTGGCACTATGTAACAAACTCGCCAGCTGTAGCAAACAACTGAGAGGCACCAAGATAACATGCCAGGAGAAGGGAGCAGGAGAGACTGAAGGTACTGCCGTATACAACGTCCTTTGCAATAACATGGAGCTTTTTAAATAAAGCCGTCTAGGAAGGGAGAACTGTAGGTAGCACATCTGAATCCATGACAGAGGGGCAGTTAAGAATAAAGCTATATCAAGCCTCTACCAATTTGATTTTTGGGGTGGGTAAGAGATTTCCTGGCCCTTCAACCTAATCTCTCTTTGTCCCTTGGGTGTGTGAACACCAGAGAGGACAGTGTCACCAGAAGCACCAGAACTGAACACCCATCCCTCCTGTCTTTTCATCGCGGCCTTTCTCAATGGCTTTAGGGTTAAACTGTAAATCTTCAGGGTCAGAATCTGCAACAAAAGGTAGAGAAATTTTTATGGCCCTTTTACCCAGTCAATGGATGTTCTCAGCATGGGCTTAAAACAGTATAAATATAGGTAAAGCTTTCATTTGTATAATATACAAATACAGCATATTCTCCCTTCAAAGGCTTGGAGTATGTGGATGGCTGACAGAAGGACTCATGCTGTAGGCTTAATTTGCTGCCACCATTTAGCTCTACAATCTCTTTCAAAATATAAAAAGCTCCTTTCCCTTTTACCCTAAATTTCAGAACTGCATTTGGATACAAACCTTCCTAATTTCCAGTCTAATTTTTTTTTGTGGCCAACTTATATCTCTTAGAATCATGATAGCTATATCCTTTAAGTTAAATAATTTCTCTTCAGCTTTGATATTTACTCCTAAATGTATTTGCGAGTCAGCAAGCTACCTCTCAGTTTCCTATTAGCTAAGCTGAAGATACCAGGTTCTTCTAAATTATTTGAAAACCTGATACTCCAATTCTCTACTAGTCCTTTTCTGCACTTTTCCAATTTAAATTAATCTTTCTTGAAAATAAGTGTCCAGGAATGTACATAACACATTTAATGAGGCCATATACATGCTCAATAAAGTGCTTTTAGTATTTCTATGACTTGCTAAAAATACCTTGCATAGTACACCGCAGAAGCAGCTCAGTTTGGCCCCACCTGGGCCTTCTTTCTTTCCCATATTTTTGCAGCTGAGTAAATAAATAGGGGGGGGGTGGTGTGGGGGCCTCCACAGGTACGTACCTTTTTTGTGGTTTTGAACTATCATTTGATTTCCACCACTCCAGTCATCATGGTAACTTCACTTGTCTTTGATGAAATCTTGAGTGCTGGCAATACTTTGGAAAGCCACTGGTAACGTCTTTTCAGCCTGGGAGCCCCACTTTTAACTTAGTTCTTTGTAGTTTCCCCTTCAGGTGGCTGCTTGCTGCCTTTCATTTCTTGCTCCAATTGCCATAATTTCTACCTGTAAACAGTGCCACAGTGAAACTGTTTAACATTTTACTTAAAACTAGATGTCTGGATCTATGTCTTTTTATCAAATTACTTATCAAGTAAAAAAAAAAAAAATTATAGATTTGTTTGCTAGGGTCTACCAATGTTGCAATTCATCTCACTATTTCCCTCTGTGACTTGATTATTCTTTTCTCCAGAATATGTTCTAAAATTTCTCAGTAACAGACCTAAAATTTCCCAGATTACTTTCTTTTTCTTTATAAATGTACTCCCATTTTCCAGTCATGGGAAACAGCTGAATCTACAGTCTATTAAAAATATTTACTGACCCATTTGCAATTCCACATCTAAGTTCTTTTTATATTTTGGGCCAGTTTATTGTTTGTCTCTCTCAAGTAGGTTAAACTTTGTTTCTGTCGCTGGTGGTGGAATATCTCCTGTTCTTTCCTCATTTCCATTAGGAACCTCACCATTATTGTTTGCTATATCATCAGATTATTTCTTTCCCATCAGTTCCAGCAAATAATTGGGTTGAATCTAAAAAAAAAATTACTTCAGTGTCCAGCAGCACCATTCTTTCTTCCTTTTTCTCTTATTTATATAGCTAAAACATTTTTCCTTTTCTGTGCAACAGTCACATCAGGCAGGCAGCTGGCAGCTCGTTATTTCTGTGCCTTTTTATCTCTGAACCATAATTCACCTGGCTAATGAATCACTTTTTCAGCTCTTTGCAAGTTTGTCCTTACCGTTGCGTTTTGCTTTGTGGTGTTTCTTCTTCCAGGACATCCATGGTGTGTCCACCACGCTTCTCCCTCCTGCCGAGACTGCCAGCCCCTGAGTGCTTTCACACCTCTGACTTGGAGTGCTCCCATCCTCTTTACATCTGAATCTTTTATGAGTTAATTGACTTTACAGAGAAGTGCAGAGTTTCTCTTTCCTAAACCCTACACTTTCAAATCCTCATTGTTGAGTAACATAAACTACTTCATCAACTCCTGATCTTTCAGCCCTGGGTGATTTTGCATCACCAGCACCCCGTGGGGGCTTTGCTACTTGTTTTATCTGGAATAGCCTCACCCTTCCTTACTTCACAAGCTATTCAGGTAAACAAACAGCTTTCTTGGGTCTAACATATAGCTATTAGCTCAGGAACAGACCTTTTACCTGAACTTTCTCTTTTAATAGAGTGAGATAAAGAAATTAGAAGTCTAAAGTGACCGAAGGCAGTGTCTGCCAGTGCTTATACAAGTGGAGATCTCAGGTAATGTCCAGTGACCAGAAATTCAGCAGCTAAGCTGCACTGAATGACCATTTATTTGATCCCAAGCCCTCGCAAACCTAATGTGAAATTGTTAGTTGTGCTTGTCCGGCCATTTGGCTAAACATAAGAACTCTGGACTTAAGTAGGTACCTGGAGTATTAAATATTTACCCAGAAAAGGAAAGTTAACCAAAATACTGAGGTTACGTTTTCATCCAGTCTGAAATGTGTGAGCTCTCTGTAGCTGGAGAGACTTTTGAGGTAAGTCAAAATGAGAGGAATCATTTAAAATTTGCTGATTGTCAGGTTTGATAGGGCCAGTCTTGTCACTAGAAATGATAGAAACATTTCTAACAAATCACTTTGAAAGTAATACAAAAGACAGGTTTACTACAGGAAAACAAGCAGATTACTTTCTGTTGTGGTTTAACGCCAGCTGGCAACTAAGCACCACACAGCTGCTCGCTCACTCCCTGCCAGTGAGATGGGGGAGAGGCTCAGACGAGTAAAAGTGAGAAAACTTGTGGGTTAAGATAAAGACAGTTTAATAGGTAAAGCAAAAGCTGTGCACAAAGAAAGCCAAACAAGGAATTAATTCACTACTTCCCATCAGCAGGCAGGTGTTCAGCCATCTCCAGGAAAGCAGGGCTCCCTCATGCCTAACGGTTGCTTGGGAAGACAAACACCATCACTCTGAACATCCCCCCTTTCCTTCTTCTTCCCCCAGCTTTATCTGCTGAGCATGATGTCATATGGTAGGGAATTTCCCTTTGGTTATTTTGGGTCAGCTGTCCCAGTTGTGTCCCCACCCAACTCCTTGTGCATCCGCAGCCTCCTCGCTGGTGGAGTGGCGTGAGAAGCAGAAAAGGCCTTGACTCTGTGTAAGCGCTGCTCAGCAATAACTAAAACATCCTTGTGTTATCAATACTGTTTCCAGCACAAATCCAAAACACAGCCCCATACCAGCTCCTAAAAAGAAAATTAACTCTACCCTGGCCAAAATCAGCACGCTGTCCTTCATTATTAATTGATAGTAGCTGTCTACCTTCAGGATCCAAAACACAGAGCAAGAAAGATTAGCTGTGGCCTGTTATCAATCTCAACATTTACAACATTGTTTATCCTTTTAACATGGCCACACAGAACAAATCAGCCTGGAGACAATTAACATTGCTCTAAGAAAATGTCAACATTACTGTTTACATATGCCTTTTAAACACTGCAGCTATTTTACATATATTCATTTTTTCCAAGCAATTTGTTAACTACATTTGAATATTGATTAGGCATATATATATAATCCTTATGGGATGCTCAAAATCAGCTCAAGTTAGGCACGCTAAATATTCTGACTCAATAATCTCAAATCTTTGATTTTCTTTCTAATTAACAAATAAGGACTGTATAACCTTCATGCACAATGTGCTGACTTCAAAATATCAGCATGCCCACGAATTAAACCACTCACGTCCAGTGCACCACAAACATAAATCTTGCTTGTTTTCCTGTTACAAACCAGAAGGTCTTTTCTTAGCAAAGCGACCCACGTGCTGGGAGGTGATTTTAACAGCACAATTCCCTCTCCACATCACACGGTGGGAGGGCTAATCTAAGAGCCTAAAATTTAATCTAGCAGAATAATCAGTGTTTCATGAATCCTATTTAGTCCACATCTGCAAAATTAATAAACATTGTACAGTAAACATTTAAGACATCATATAGCTATGTATTTACTGTCAAATATTTAGATATTATAAACATGAGCTACCTATATTCTATTTTTTATAACCCCTGATTCAAACAACTAGAGTATTTACCCTTGAAGATGTAACTACTACAGCTGAGTAAAGAGGGAGTAGATTTAGTATTTTGGATGGCCTGTGGAAAGGCAGTAAATCATTTGCTTGCAACTCGTATTTAACTCCTGGCCTGCTAACAATTGCTGAGTCTTCCTGAAATGCTATTTACTGGATTAACAGATGAAAAAATAAGAAAGTAAAATTGTGATAATTGAATCTGTTCTACTGTATAAGAGAGTCCATTAGAAATGTCTGGATTAATTGTTCTTTGACATAAGGAACTAAACCAGTACTTTTAAATAGCTGTTACAAATTGTTGCATAACTAATTACAAGTTTGGAAGCCCACCGGCTTTTACTTTTGAGACTAGTTTTTAAAACTTTTATCTAATTTTGATAGGTCTTTATGCCTAGATTTTAAAAAATAAGAAATTTGGTGCTTAAGTAAGCATAAACCTAACTACTTTATTCTTTAATGTAACTATTTTTTTCTTGACATAAGGTTAGAACTGATTTTTAAAGGTAGTAAAGATGGAAACATGAGGCAAAGTAGGTTTCAGTTAATTAAATAGGACACTCCTCATTTTGTTTTTGTAATTTCTATCAGTAGTGAATTTTTAGCGAAAGATATTAGAAAATGGTAAATTTATGCAAAGAACAAGCATTGCAGGAACAGTCATCATAAAGTTACTGTCATTGCCTCAGTAATGTTTTTTAAACTCTGAGCAAGAAGGACAGCTACTATACGAGAAAGTAATAAAATGTCCATGCTCTGTTGAGACAGTGCTTCAGGTACTATTACTGTCATCAGCATTTTTCTGCCAAGATATATATATATATCAAGCAATCATCTCTGTTCAGATGAGCCCATGTTGTGAGTTAAGAGACCTGAGCTGGCTGCAAGAGCCCATGCCCTATAGACAACCCGTTATATCCCATCACTGCCGTTCTGAACCATCTGCTGACCTAGACTTGGGTTGTGGGTTTGGGAGTTTTTTGACACTTAAATGAAGAAATAAGATTTATATTTGCCCACTTACAGGCCAGTTCCAGACTGCAGCTCTGGAAGCTTTCAGCGTGGTCGAGTTACCCTACCTGGGGGAGAAACTCAGCATGTTCCTAGTGCTTCCCAGCCACAAAAGAACACCTTTGTCCCAGATTGAGTCTCACCTTTCTGCCAAAACCATAACCCTCTGGGCCAACAGCTTAAAGAGAATGAAGATGGACATTTTTCTACCTAGGTAAGCAATATTAATACTCCAAGAAGGCTTCATTACTTCAGCTGTCAGAATTGTGTGTGACAGTGTTGACATGAGCAATGTGTGAGAAAAAATCGTATGAGATACTTTTGGTTTTGTTATTCATCACACGATCAGAAAAGCTCTAACCCTTTCTTAAGCCATGAAAAGGCGAGCTGGGAATGCCAAAGCCTTCTACTATGCTCTGTACTGCTTTAAACACCAAGAATTTCAATTGATCCTACAGCTTTTACTTAATATTTCTTTGGACTATAACAGTCCTTTAAAGATCTAGAAAGATATAAACGTTCCTGGCCCTTCTCACATTCTGTTTTTCTCTTTGCTTAAGGAAGAGTAAATAAACAACCTTTAAAAAAAATGCAATAGCTTATTTTTACAACTTGCTAGTATACTTACTGCAAAAGTACTCACCAAAGAACCTGGGGCCCTCACCAGTCATTCCCATCTTTCTATGCACAAAGTGAGTTTCAGCCATCCATTTTCCACATTAGTCATTTGCTGTTGCTAGCACATGCACACTTCTGGGTGGTATTTTCTATCAGCTATTCAAATAAAATTCCATAGCAGGAGGAATCAGGTGCAGGGGGGCCTTTTGTAGCTGTACCTACTATATGGATCAGTGTGGAAGGGCTTCATTACACATCTCTTACAATACATTTCCCACCCGAACAAAGCACTGAAAAACAATTTGTATGTTAATATTCTTTTACTTCAAGCTGATCTTTTGCAACTGTTTCAAAGGGGCCTTTGCTACACTCAAAAAGATAGTTAAAAAGAGGACACTTGGGGAAATAGAGAGTTCATGTGTCAAGAAGACTGAGAGGCAATCTGATTGCAATGGGTGGAGGCGAGGGATTCCTTCTGTTAAGGGTCTTCAGGTGAAGAGGAGTTGCTTTTCGGCAAAGTACACTTAATCAGATGGAAGGCATTGGGCTCATACAGTAATAGCTGGATGAAATGCAAAGGCTTAAAATAAATTGCATCTAGCATCTATCTGACCTTTTAGCTCTATGAAACTAAAAATCTCACATTTAAATAAAATCTATCATCTTAATTTCAGGTTCAGTATTCAAAGCCTTTTTGACCTAAAGACAGTTTTTTCTTCCTTGGGAATTAGAGACGCATTTGATCCCATCACTGCTAATTTTAAAGGTATTTCAGGTAAGAGGCTTGACTGAATAAAAAATGATCACTGACCCAATAGTTGTAGATGCTTCCATGTGAATGATTCAGTAGACCTGGGCCTTCAGAATTGACAGCACTTCTTCCTCTGTGAAACTCTGAAATACAGTTCACGCTCAACTGTTCTACTTTGTTATTGGCAATTATATTTTGAGCTGTTGTTTTGTATGAAAGAGGAATCTGAAAGGGATAGGGTTGGTTTTGGTCTTGCTTTATTTCTGTTTTTCTTTTTTTCCCCCTACTTTCTTTAAGATTAAATCTGTGAAGACAGCATAGGCTTAGAAATTATTTATTCAGAAATTTAGGATACTTTACTAAAATTTGCATTCCTATTTGTGTTTTTAAATAGTCACTGAACAGGTAGGGATGCTGGTCCAACAAGTCAGATGCCAGCTCCTGACACCACAAACGATATTGGCACAAACAATATTAGCATATGCCCATGCTATGTTTTCTTGTTAATTCAGTGACCAGTGGACTAAATTATACTTTCACTTTACTAAAATACTGGTGTTATGTCTGTAAGCTCTCTTGGTTTTGGAAGTCTGAAATTATTCTGCTCCTTAGAAAATTTTTATGCCTATTTAATATAAAGTAATAAAATAATCCAAATTATCTTTTTTTTTTAATTACTACTTTTAGCAACACCAATTATTTCAATTTAGTAATTTCTGCTCATAACAAAGACTCAGAGTGGTAGCTGCTCCTAGAGGTGCAGAGAGTTCATGCAATTCTTGTGCATGTGACTAAATAAATGGAGGCATGACAATAAGAAATTCCTCCCATTTAGACAAACCTGCTTTCACAGAAAAGTTGCTTTTCTGAGATGAGCATTACTTATGGGGTTTTTTTTATACCCCTTTCAAAATTGAACATAGAATTTTTTTATTACAGTACATATCTCAAACTGCAAAGAGTTGTACATCAAAAATAATGTTACTGACCACTTATTTCTTAAAGCCTGTTGCTTTGTTTATTGCAAACAAATGTTAATATAGTGATAAAGTGCACAAGGATGCATTTTATAAAGTTAACATCTATTTAAATAAGATAAATACTTCGAGGAAATGAACTCCACCATAAAGAATCTCATTTAGCAGCTTCTTTCCTATGCAACTTGGTGGCTTTCTGCTCCACATCATACAGGGTAAGGCTTGTGGAAGTATTTGATCCTGCCTGTGGAGGGGTTATGGATTAAAGGATATGTTGAGGCTCTTTGCAGTTCTACTCTTACACTACTCAATTATGTATCATAATAATAGGGTTATAGCTATGATGGTCTAAGAGCTACACAAGGCAGAGTTTATAAGGGAAGTTTATCTTTTATGTTACCAATAGATACAGTTGAAAAAAGAACAGATAAGTTTTCAGTTCCTCTTCCATATAAAGCAGAAGCCATGATCCTCAGAACATTTACTCTTAGATCACATTTAGCAAATAAATGTGTTACCCAATTTCATACCTGGAATAGCTTCTTTATGCCTGAAAGCTTCTGATTTTTTTCCTCCAAAATATGTTAGTTTTATCTAATTTTGAAAATTCTGCATCTCCTCAGTTTTGTCTTGCTTGTTTCCATCTCAGATTTTTGACTGGACAAAATTCAGAATGAAACAAATAAAATGCTCTTTGAGTATTTCCCTGGTTTTACCTATATGTCAGACTTGATCCTCATATTCAGGCAAGAAAGTAAAAAACCTCTCAACCTTCCCTGCTTTCTGCCCTCTGCAGTCAGCTGGGAAGAAGCAGACTTGTAACACCCACCTTGGTATCTTTCCAAAATATTTTATTTTCCCAATCTCAATTTTATGTCACAGTCCCATCACTTCTTCCAAAAAGTGTTATTTCTGCAGTTTCCCTTCCAACAGTTCCTTGATCCAGTATTCATTCACTGTCCCCACTGTGTTAATTGTTTTCTACTCTCACCATGTAACCTTGCTTTCCACCACAACCTGGGAGACCTCTCAAACTAGTAACTCCTATTCGGTACACTGTTGTCCATATAGTGGGAAAAGAGTCATAAAGATGAAAGGACAAGTAAACATGGGGAGAAAGGAGGGAGAAGAGGATATTCACAATGGTGACTTAAGGCTCCCTGTAGTCAAAGAAGCAGTCAGATGTGTGCATTCCTACTCACACTGGCAAGGGACCTGCCTCCCTCTGTCAGCAACAGAGAGATCTGAGACATGCTGTCTTCCCTAGACTAAAGTAACCTCATGTCACCTTCCTGATGTTATCTCACTTTAAAGATGTTCCTATACAGTGTTGAAGCAATGCTCTTCTGTAGCCTGAGCCCAGCTCCCACCACTGGACATCAGTGGAAATGGGTCAGACTGCAGATGGCTCCATCAGCAGAAATGTGAGGACACCACACAGCTCTTCCAAATTTACACCGATACAGCCAAAATCTTGTCATTCCCCCTCCCCAAATTCAAAAGCAGATCTGAATGATGAGAAGTCAACAGCAGAAACGCCTTTATACAGAAAAATATTCCAACTTTGCATTCACAGTTGTGATTCTTTCCTAAGAACTTGACTGTTCATCTGAAAGTGGGATCCACGTTTCACGTAGAAGTCAGAGGCCATCAAGCAAGCTGCCCTCTGACAAAGGACATATTCACACGGATAGAGTCAAGACACAGATGAGGATTTTAGCTTATTCTCCAAGTTGCCTGCACATAAGGTCACGCTGGTCCAAAAGCCATGTAGTCATACCTTCTCAGCTATGTGCTGAGCTAAAAAGGCCTTACTATCAAGCTAGCTTAGATGTTCAGACTGTCTATGCTTATCCATATTAGGCACACGTGCAAAAAATCAGGAGCTGAGTCAAAATTAGAACTGAGGATCTTCTGATGTGGAAGCCAGATACAGAAAAAGCAATTGAAAGGCAGGTTTATGCTGTGCTGTCTCTTTGAATGTGATGTGGTGAAGGAACCAATGGAAGGAATTTGCAACAGAAGAAAAGCTAATAATGTGACAGGTATTGTATTCAGCATGCTGTCATTTAATTAGTTGTCCGGGTGAAATACCTATCAGTTATGTCATCCTTAGATTCTGCAGAAAAAAGGTCAAAGCACTCTGAATTAAGGAGAAGAAAAAAAAAAATGTTCACAATAGAACTCAGAAAATAGCTATTAATATTAATTTCTGGGGGTTTGGGGTTTTTTTTTGCAGAGCAAGTTAGTCTTTATATTTCAGAAGCTATTCACAAAGCAGAGATTGAAGTAACAGAAGATGGTACAAAGGCATCAGGAGCTACAGGTAAATCAAATATACAGACTTCACTTTTCACTTCTGAAGATTATGACTACAGGAAAAAAAACACTAGTTTTATTTGGAGAAGAGAAAAAAAAAAAAAAAAAAAAGCATGGTAGCCTTTCAATGTATGCCTAACCTCCATAAGGTGAATGACATAGAATCATAGAATGGTTTGGGTTGGAAGGGACCTTTAAAGGTCATCTATTCCAACCCCCCTACCATGGGCAGGGACACCTTCCACTAGATCAGGTTGCTCAGAGCCCCATCCAACAATATCTCAATAGAAATCCTTCATCACAACTTAAAGAAAACAGGGGAACTAAAATTACTGAGCTGTGCAATTTCCTTTTTTTTCTTTGGGTTTTTTTGTTTTGGTTTTTTTTTTGGTCACACAAGCTTTATCTAAGGTGGCCTCTGCTTTTTTGTTTCCCTTTTGGAAGCCTCAGATGCTCTGGAGATGCTACAAGTCAGTGTGAAAGGCAGTGGAGGCCCTAGACCCCTGCATGAATTACACAGGCATTACTGCCACTCGATGCTCTTCAGAAGCTGAGGACATTCTCAAGCTGCTCGAACATCAGCACAGCAGAAGGGTGATCCTTAACCACATTTTGCCTTCCTGCTTCCCTGGGCTGTGCTGGCTGTAGATGTGCCCACAATGTCAGGCTGCTCTGTGAAGCACACTGCAGATATCCCACAGTCATGATGCCAAAAGGAAGCTGAGCACACCTGAGCTGGTGTAGGAATTATTCCCCCAGCAGCAACTCTGAGTAAGACACAAGCTGTACCTACGTGGGTGTGCAGTGAAAATTTGACATAACTAACTTAGGCTTGCTGCAGAGCTCTGCAGTTTCAGATTTTATGACAATTTTAATCTCTACAATGTTTTTAATATTTTTTTGGGTAATTCCCATACAAAATAAAAGCTTTTAGGTGGCTTCCATTCCATACCAAAGACGAAGGCTAACAGAAATCAGACCTTTATCCCACTGAAACCAATGACAAAACGTCTCTTAACGCCAGTCAGACCAAACTGATTTTAAAAGTTGTAATTAAGTTTATTGTTTACTTTAAAAGCTCTCGATATAGTCACACAGAGGCTTGAAAGCTGAAGTAGGCACTTTTTTTAGGAGCACTGAAATAGAGCCACTAAAACTAGTTTTACTGAGTCTTACTTGAAATTTCAATTGAATTCCATTGTTTTAACTGCTCAATAAATATAAACCAAATCTGGGGTTTTTAGGGTTTGTTTTGGGGTTTGGTTTTTTTTTTGGGGGGGGGTTGTTTTGTTTTTAGTTTTTAGACAATGTATTCTTAATATTATAGCTACAAGGAAGAATTTATCTAAACAAGATGTATTTGATTAATTGCTGAAGCATTATAATTCTTAAGGACTCTTTATTTAATCTAATAATTAACCCACAACCAGAGAGTGGAAGGACAGTCATAAATTGAGATGGAGGATACTTAGGTTTTGCTGAGAGCTCTGACAGAGAAATTCCAGGATGATATAGATATTTCTCTGCTGTTTGTCTCCCATTTAGAAAAGGGACTACATTTACTGCCTTGCTTATTTTTTTTACCAGAACAGCATAGCTAGGAGTCGACTAAGGGGTTAGGCAATAGCATGGTATGAGTCCAGCAGAGTTATGGCTGTAACTCAACAAAAATTATATTAACTTTGAAATCCAAAGCCAGACAGACTTCAGCAACGAAATATACACTTGCCACCCGCATGTAGTCTCACAACACTTGACTTGTTCATTGACCTAGACTGATTTCACTCTTGGATAAAATTGTCATTTCATTCTTAAAGCAGAGGAGCAACTCAAAACTCAAGGTACTAGACATCAGAGCTTGAGGGCTCTGTACATAAGACGGAATGAAAATGGAGACATTTTACTAATGTTTTCTTTGTTGCATTACAGCGATGGTTTTACTAAAAAGATCTCGAACGCCTATTTTCAAAGCAGACAGACCGTTCACGTTTTTCCTGAGACACGCCAATACAGGTACAGACGCTCTCCGCTTCAGTAGCAGAATCCTTCACAAGCAGCACTGAAATTGATAACAAGTTATTTGTAAATAAAGTGTCATTCTTCAGTCCAGGGAATTTCAACAACCATAGCAACAGTGGGTTTAGGGTTTCAAAAGCATAAATAATACAGTTTAATTTCTTTAAAAAGAATGCATGATAGAAGTCAGGGAAGCCAGATAAGCCTCTTCTATGTACATGTAGTACATGCTCAAAAATATTTCTACCATGATTATAGGCACTAGAAAGATCTTATAGATCTTAAATATGCCAGGCTTAGGGACAGACCTCCACAGAGCAATTCAAATCACAAATGAGCTGGATCAGCTGGATTAATACCTAAAGAAGTTAAAATATAAATCTTTCCC